CAACATTGAATTTTAGATATCACCATCATTGCTCTAATAAGAAATAATTACGGGACTTGATCATTTGGTGGCATTCCCTCAGGTGTTCAGTTCACATGGCTCCACGATTGGTTGCAGGCAAGATATCTGCAAGGGGTGTCCTAAGGTATCCTTAGTGGGTATTCTTTCAGGTGCATCAAAGACCAATATTCTTTAGTTTTAGAAAATTCCAAATCTTTAGGAATGGCTCACATGTCAAAATATATGACTGTCTTTTGTGTGTGTTTGGTCTGTGTATGTGTGAACAGTCTCACTTCATTTAAAAAAATAGAAACAATGGGCACAATGTAAGGGTATATAGCACACCTCTTGGGTGCAGGACACAATTATAAGAGACTCAAATGCAAACATTGTAACTTAGTTGTTTGTGCCCTCATATTAACCTGAAATAAATTTTTTTTTCAAATTTAAAAAAAGAATGATGAGAAAATAAATTTCTGTTTAAGCCAAAATATAAAAATTAAAAACAAAAATTTAAAGCCCCAAACTCCCAAATTTGGTTCTATTCTCTTTTATTCTGAGGTGAGCTATGGCAGCTGTGCTAAATTCATAAAACAAGTGCAAGTCAGGATAAAATATGTTTCCTCTAAAAGCACAACCACTTTACAATATTAAAAGTCTAGTAACATTTCTAAATATTATTCATACCACACAAGTAATGGTTGTTAGTGTAAAGCTTCATTAGTAAAATTACACTACCAGCATGATTAACCTCCAGAATTGCAGATCCCAGACTCCAATGCAAAGCTACATTACATCTCCAATAGCACATTATCCTCCACCATCAGTCACACACCAGAGGATATGAGGGCATCTCAGACGGCTGAGCAACAGTGGAACTAATAAAGCTCTTAAAAGCAGCAGACTGAGGGTGAAGGCAGAGAGATACCCTGTTTCCCATCTGCTGTTCCAAACTGAATTGGCGAATAATTTCTTTTATCAGTCAGACAAAACTGAGGTCTCAAAAGTGTCATTGAATTTGGGATTGGTAACATGCTTAGTCACTGGTACAAACTCTTGCAGTAGTGGTAGAAAAACAACAATTATACATATACACGTGATATCATAGTCACCCTTCATCTAGGTAAGGGTGGGCTAAGGTATCCTTAGTGGGTAGTCTTTTGGGCCCATGAAAGACCAACATCCTGCAAAGGAGATGAACAGCTTCCTGTGTAGCCTGGCTAGGGTACAGAGTACAGGAAGAGAAGGCTGTTTATGAGGGCCCCTCGGTATGTGTGCCCAGCACCTTGACAACCCATCCTCATTGCTTCCAGTGATGGTGTGCCCTACAGATCCGTAATCAAATCCAATTGCTGAATGGGACTCTGTGCCTGAAACAATATTCTTCATCCTAGTAGCTCTGCAATGAAAGACACATCCCACACACTAGATGTCAATAGCATTGCTGCCCATCAGTACTTCCAGAGCCCAATAATACTGAGTAATGACTTCTTGAGTCATATGACGAGCCTCTTCTAATTATTCCACTCTGGCCAATCCCAAACCACAAATATTGACAATATGGTTGCTGTTCACAAGGAGATTCCCTGGCTTAGTTTCTGCGTGCCAACTGAAAGGAGATAAAGAAAAACTTTGACATGATTTGAGTTGAGTGGTTGAGGAGAGACAATAACTTTGCATGGATCACTGTGCATCAATTCTATAACAACATATATTTCTCTAAAATAGTCAATGTGTGGAAGTTGGAGTATGTCAAGGCAGAAAATACATTATCATGTTAAAAAAAAATCCTCAATTCTCAGAAAACCCTTTTGCAAGAGACCAGATTCTGGAAGATGTTGGGTGTCTTTCTGAGAGCTACTCCCTTTACTTCTCTTGGATGTGTTAGTGACCAGATAACACCAAAAACTCCATGTCTCAAAGATCTGTCCAGCTCAATATACAGTTGCTGTTGTGGGTGATGGGAGTGCTTAACTGTAGTGGCTGTGGCAGCCTGTACCAAAGCTGAGATTGCTGCAGCTGGTTCAGGACCCTGACCCAGTAGCTGTGATGAGAAGTGTGGCTTTGTTACCCAGGGTCTAACATGGCAGCAGGTGCAGCCACAACTGCATCTGCAGCAGCCATCAAAGAGCCATGTTACTCTACGGGGTACACAGCAACAGCCGACCCTGATGAAGATGGTGTTGAAGGTGGTGGTGACCTGCTCTGCTGCAGATGCACAGCCATTGTAAACCACCACCATTTTTGTAGAATCGCCTTTATTAAGAAATCAAAAGACAGTAGATGTTGGTACAAATGCAGTGAAAACAGAACACTTAGATACTGTTTATGGAAATGTAAATTAGTACAACCTCTATGGAGAACAGTATAGAGATTTCTCAAATAACAAAGGTAGATCTACCAAGCAGAATAAAGAATGAATGAGCTTGCAGACAGTCAAAAGAGAAAAAAGAAAACAGCCTTTCTCAAGACGCTATATGAATCAATAGGAAATAGAATAAGAACTTCGATGTCTTAACTCTGATAATAATAAGTGAGAGAGTCTAAAACTTCCAGACAGACTCAAAAAGGGAATAAAATTGAATGTGAAAGAACAGGCAAATAAGCAAAAACCTCTTGTTCTAGCCAAGCCAAGTGTTGCGGCAGCGCTTGCAGCATTGTAACAATAAGCTGTTAATAGAAAAAAAAATCAACATCTGCTCTAAGAATCTGAGAAGATGTGATCAGCCTGGGAGAAACTAAGTCTCAAGAGCAAAATAATGGGCTCCTGAGGGAAGGAAAAATTTGTATGCAATAGATAATCTTCCCTGATAAAGTCTCATCTTTGGAATCCATAAGAGACTATATCCCTCATGTCTTAGGATAAATAAGACATAGGTCTCAAAGCAGCATAGATGAGTCTCTATTTCAGCAGACATGCCAATCTCTCTCCATGCCATACAGTTTAAGACCCATTGTGGCTCCTGGCTGCCAATGACACCATGCCCTCCACCCTGTCTGCCTTTTGCTGCTGTGGAAAGAGAAGATTATAAGTCAAATCTGCCAATTGTTTGAAAAGATGGATTCAAAGGAGATAAAAACATAGGACACCTCTCGGGTGTACCTTTTAACTCAGATTTCTTTTGTGAAGCTATAAGAACAAGCCCTCAAATTACATAAATGGATGAAAGGAGATTTATCTTTTCAAGTAAGAGGGCTGGAAAATTAGGGAAATAAGATATATGAGGGTGACAGAGAAGCCTCAGTACTGTGTGAATTCTGTCATTATCAACCAGTTTTTCCCAGGAAGAACCAGCTCTTTAGGGGAACAAAGATACTAGCAAAGTGACATCTGGATAGGATTAACAAAGTAGTTGTAAGGAGTTATCAGCTCTCCAGAGTTTAGTACTGTTGGTTCTTCCAAAGAGCAAATGATCAGCCACTGAGAGAAGGGAGAGAAACAAGATGATCGAGCATGCCAGATGGTGAGTGCCCTTAAAAAAACAATAGAAACCACAACACACTAGTCACCAAATATTTCTTGCTTTTTTCACTCTTTCTTCACAGTTTCCTTGGCTTCTGTGTAACTAATTCCTGCTACGAAGGAATTCCAGCTATTTTACATTATCTGTTCACAGTCTTTAAAAGAACCTTAAAGAGAAATATGATGTGAAAAATTTGGAATCTCTTTCCAAATTGCTATGTGTTACTAATTGCAATAATCAAGGTCATTCTTAAAGATTCAATATTATGTTATCGGGACTCTGCCGCATTTTGAAACTAATAAATTAGTAAATATTCTTAGCCAGAGTACTTTCATTAAAAAAAGTCCAGGGCTCTATTCTGCAATTATATATTCCTGAATAAACATCATCACTCCATCATTTTCACTTTAGGTCAGTGATGACTGTCTCCCTTAACAAAAAAGATCCAAAAATAAATTAATAAATTGGGACCCAACAATTGACAAAGAATCTCAGGAAATTGCTATTGTTTTACCGCTCTCACAATGGAAGTCAGACCTTGTCCCAAAGTAAGTCTAACTCAGAAAAGCAAATTTTCATGAAGATTCAAAACACCCACAACAGGATTTGAGCAACTGAAGGGGGGAGGAAATGAGAGGGAGATACTTGTCCAGAGAGGCATCTTATGGCTTCCTTTGTCCTTGGAACCCAGAGGTCTGTGCTTGGGAACATCTGACATTTGTGACTGTGTTATACACAAACCAGAAGAATAGGGACCTTTATAGAAGTCCTGAGAATGCAAAAAAGAATATCAAGATATTAAAATAATATACTAGATCCAGCACTCATTTTTTATGTCTATAGACAGAGTTATGCCTAGATCAGGAGTTTGTAGACATTTGTAGCCCAAGTAGTAAAATATAGGACGAAATTGAAAGTCGTTATGTACATATGTAAACATTCAAAGGTTTTATGAGATAACAAACTTTGATGAACACTGAAGACAGGACAGCACATTTGACATTTTTTGTCTGGATTATTTTAAGACACTAACACAGATAATTCTAATACTCATTTATAATGAAAATGAAAGATATACAGATTTCATTGTGTTATTTGCTATCTTTCTCCTTTTCTTCCAACATTTGTGTCTTTGATACCAAACATTGATGGAATTGAAATTCCCTGTCCAATATGAAAGGGCTTTTATGTCTCATTTTGTACACACGAATATATAAATTTCATATCTCTTTATGCCCATTTTTAAGGACTATTACTAACCGAATGCAAGTTGCTTATTGCATAAGGTTCTGTCATTTACTGTCAGAAAACTGAAAGAGAAATGAATGTCCAAGAATTTTTAAGTTTGATCATATCAAGCACTTTCAAAGTTTGACACTCTTCACCAGTATAATCAGATTATCACTAATTTAATAGAATAGCAGAAAGTAAGAAATATAGCAATGTTCAAAAAATAAAAGGAAATCTCCCTGAGGAATAGGGGATAAGGTCATCTGTATAATTGTCATTTTTTTCCTCTCTACCCCTTAGGAAGCCATGAATGTCTCAGGAATCAACACAGTAACTGAATTCGTACTCCTGAGCTTTCCCTGCTCCAGAGAGGTTCAGGTCCTCCTTTTCATGCTCTTCTTTGTGTCCTATATCCTGACCCTGATGGGAAATGGGGCCATCATCTGTGCAGTGAAATTGGACCACAGGCTCCATACCCCCATGTACATCCTGCTGGCCAACTTTTCATTCCTGGAGATCTGCTACATCAATACTACTGTTCCCAATATGTTAGGGAATTTCCTCTCTGAAACCAAAACCATCTCTTTCACAGCCTGCTTCCTCCAATTCTACTTCTTCTTCTCAATGGGCACCACTGAGACCTTCTTACTGCCCCTCATGGCTTTTGATAGGTACATGGCTATCTGCCGGCCTCTCCATTATCCTACCATTGTAAGCAATCGTCTCTGCATGAACTTGGTGGCCCTCTGCTGGGTAACAGCATTCCTCTGCTATCCAGTCCCCATCTATTTTATCACACAACTCCCCTTTTGTGGCCCCAACACCATTGACCATTTTCTCTGTGACCCTGGTCCTCTTCTGGCCCTGTCCTGCACCTCTGCACCTGGAATTGAGCTCTCCTGTTCTCTGTTGAGCTCACTTATTATCTTCGTCACCTTCTTCTTCATACTTGCATCCTACAGCCTGGTTCTCAGAGCAGTGTTACGCGTCCCTTCAGCATCTGGCAGAAAGAAAGCCTTTTCCACCTGCGGTTCCCACTTAGTTGTGGTGTCTCTGTTCTATGGAACTCTTATGGTGATGTACATCAGTCCAACCTCTGGAAATCCAGCTGGGATACAGAAGATTGTCACCTTGTTCTATTCCTCAGTGACCCCACTTGTGAACCCACTGATCTATAGTCTCCGTAACAAAGACATGAAGGCTGCCTTGAAAAAAATCCAGATATGCACAAAAACTGATCAAAGTGAATGAGCGCTCAGGTGGACCATATGAGAATAATTCTCTCCCACTTCTACACCCTCTTAAAAAGTAAACCTTTTATTCATTTGTATGTAAAGGTGCAGAACCAAATTCATCAATTTCTGCATAGTCAAATGAGGGACAAGAACATCCCAATTGGGCGGCACCTGTGGCTCAGTGAGTAGGGTGCCCACTCCATATACAGAGGGGGGAGGGTTCGAACCTGGCCCAGGCCAACCTGCAACAACTACAACAAAAAATAGCCAGGAATTGTAGCAGGTATCTGTAGTCCCAGCTACTTGGGAGGCTGAGGCAAAGGAATCACCTAAGCCCAAGAGCTGGAGGTTGCTGTGACCTGTGATGCCACAGCACTCTTCTGAGGGTGACAAAGTAAGACTCTTGTTTCTTAAAAAAAAGAACATCCCAATTAAACCAGATCTTGCCTTCACATCAAGACTGGATAGATGATAATGTGAATTAGATGACCTATATGTCTAGACTCTTCTCCTACTCTGAACTCCAATAACTGATTGTCTTTTTATCTGTAATCACTTACCTAGTCCCTGGCCTCACACTTTTTCCACCTGTAGCAAGTGTATATTCCATTCTTATATATATTTTTTTGGCCTGATGATCCAGCAGAAGAATAGAGCATATACACAGCTGTAGCTCCCATGAAAGGAAATTACCAATAATCAATAAATCATAACTGAGCCAAATTTTTCTTTGAATGGACATCCATTTGACTAATAAGAATCTAAAGTACTATCTTCAAAACCTGTTATATAATTACCTTGGAAAATTTTTTAAAAGACAGATTCCCAGGCCATTCCCTAAATATCCTAAATCATAATCTTTGAAGAAGACCCTGGAAATCTTTAATGTTACCACATGATTCTAGTGCACCTAGACCAGCACATGTCCAGAGATTGATCTAAAAGAACCATAATTTGTAATTTTTTATTAAAATTAATATGAGGGTACAAATTTTTAAGTTACCTTGTTCTCACTTCCAAGGTAAAGTTCAAGTTGAGCCCTTCACCCAGGGGACATGCTGAGCACCTCACATTGTGCACATTATGTGAGATCTCATAATTGACTTCCCTCTTCCCCCTCCCCCTCTCCTCTCCCTCCTTTTCCCTTTTCCTTGCTAGACTATTTTTGCGTTTTATTGTTCCTATGCGCATGTAATTATTTATATATTGATTTCATATTAGTATGACATACATTATTTTTTTTCCATTCTTGATATACTTTACTAAGAAGAATGTGCTTCAACTTCATCCAGGTAAAGATAAAAGATGTAAAGTCTCCATCTTTTCTTATGGCTGAATAGTACACCTGGCAACTGCAGCAACACCAAAGATAAATAGGGTTTTGATCAAGCTGAAAATCTTCTGCACTGCTATGGGTACCACAACCAAAGCAAACAGCCTTTGGAATGGGAAAAGATTTTTGCAAGTTACAAAACTGACAAAGGAAATGTATATGAAAACACTACACTGTACCCCCTGTTTGCATTAATGTATAGAGCTATCATTTAATAAAAATAATTAATTAATTAATTTTAAAAAAACTGACAAAGGCCTGATAACTAGAATCTACAGAGAACTCACATTAATCAACAAGAAAAGAGTAAACAAGCCAATTTATAAGTGGGCAAGAGACTTGAGTATTTTTAATAAATACAGGATATAGGCAGAGAAATAGAAATACTATATTTACTGTGAGAAGTAAAAGACATTAAAGTGATTTTTCACAATTATTGGGTTAAAAATAAATTGATCAGAAAAAAGTAAATAAATAAATTGGTCAGTTGGCAAATATGGTTGATATATTTCACTCATCCACACAAAAATATCCATTTACCTCTGTGACATGCAATGGAATTATCTCAACATAGGAGATAAAAATCCCTGCCTCTGTGAAACTTACATTCTAGTGCCTTGATCTGGGACTTCCCAACCTCCAGAACTGTAAGAAATAAATTTCTATTGTTACAGAATAGCCAATTTATGGTATTTTGTTTGGAAGCCCAAACAAACAAAGGCAATGCTTGTTCACATTTTCAATAGAGTAACATTAATCCAATGCATAGTGTCTGAGTTTCCACTATGCACTCAAGTGGTTTGACTTTACCAGGACATAGAGACATCTGCAAGAAACTCTGGGAAGTGGAGCAGAACAATGAAGGAGGCTGTACTACAGAATTCCATATTACCCAAAGACCACAGGAATATAAGGGATAGCATATTCCTTGGAGGAACCCTGGGATGTCTCAGAAAGAAGGTGTTAGAACCTATCAAAGGATTTGTGCTTTGGTTGGGTGGCTCAGAAGAGGGTCTAAGGAAGTGGCAATTTGTTCCAATTGGATGTTGTCAGAAATCAAGGGCAATGCTATGACTAGGCATCTTAACAAATCTTATCCATACACAGAGCAGATGAGAAAAAGAATAAAGCTGTAACTGGCTTAAAAAGAAAAATGTGGCAGTCACTCATTTTAGCCAAAAGAGAATAACATTTGGAATGTTATTGGTGGCACAGTGACTTTGTGTTGTCTTAGACAGAATTATAAAGTGGCCTTTTTTTGCCACATTTAATCACTGTGTCAGAGTAACCTTGACTGAAGTTGTACCCTGTGAGATTTTCCTGTATCCAACAAGAGAATAGTATAACCCAGCCATGAATGCCAGACCAACTTGAATAACTTGGAGGTACAGCTGTGATGTCAGATCAGTTATGAAGGTCTGGGGCTGCTTTTCCCTGTTTGGGTTTGTAAGATGTTTATTGGCCATGTCCACGTGGTTGGCACGCTTAGGGCAGTTAGAGATAGCATTATTGGTTAGTTGACCCATCAGTTGATTTCTTAGTATTTCATTCCACCCGTGAAAGGTTTGAAGCAAGAAAAAAGATGTTATTTCAACTTGCATAGGGAAGAAAACAGAAATTAAGGGATCCCCCAAGGGAAGTAGATAACACAACATAGCTGTCTCTTGACACCATTCTCCTTTTATAAGTGGTAAGTGGATTCTTATTCATCAGAAAAAACAGGGTAACTTACTTCCTGGCAGGATCTGTTTATAACCCCTCCATCCTTCAGCAAAAAAAAATTTTAAATAACTAAAGATCCTTACCATGATTTCTACTTTTTTCCTGCTGATTATTACCAAAAAGACTACCACTTCTTTCTAAGAAAATAAAAAGGGAACTTGTGAGACGCTTCAGTTTGGGACTCCCTCTGCTGGTACAGGTAATAAAATGACGTAGCATCTAGAAGAATAGAAAAAGAATAATGTAGTTGTATCATCTAATAGCCTCTATCCACAGCTCTCTTTAAATTTACGACAGCCATACACAATACAACCAATATTCCTCTTAAGTTCTCACCAGTAAGGCACTGGTCAAGGTGCTTCCATAGATATTATCTCATATGATAATCTTCATGACAGCCCTATAGTTTCCTTAGCAATAAAATACTCATTTTGGCTAAGGAAATTACAAGAGTCTTAATTTCCTATGACTAGTAAAGAAAACTCTTGACTCTACATTCAGGGCTTTTTTTTATTATGTACAGGTAACTACCACTTGTCCCAGTCTGGAAAATTAACCCTACTTTAAGGTTTTTCTAGAACCAGGTTACTCAACTTTACAGCTGCAGCAGGTCCCTCACTGGAACTGCACAAAGAAACTAGAGAAGGGAATTGTATTGTCAGGAAACATCACTGGACTGGCAGTAGTGAGGGGCCAACAAAGTTAGGTGCCAAGACTTCTACCACATCAAACTTTGAGGTTAAACTAAAATTTCCAGGAAATGTCTTCAGCTTATAAAGTGTATGGCACAGCCTGGGTCATTCAAACATAGTCTATCTTAACCTTTCAGAAGATGACTAATTGCACAGGTAAACGAATCCAAAAAGATAAACAAACAGACAAGCATAGTTTTTCTTGTTAATTAATTTGGTCCAACCAGCCTGGGTACATGAGCACAATGTTGCACCCAAGTTCACGGTGCCCTCCACAGCCAATGCAGGGTCAATCAGCTACACTTTTTATTTTTCCACTTTTTTCTGCTCCAGCTCAGATTTGTAGCAGGTAAACATTATAGTTTCTTCTGCACGGAGAAGATATGTAGTAAACGGTAAGTAACAATACAGTCTGGTTAAATATTAGGTTTGGGATAAAATGGTGACAGGTCATCCAGGATTATTCTCCCATTCCTGTTCTCTTAAGTCAGCTTCATAAGACCTCCGGACACAGAATTGCTCTGAGAGGAAATGGTTTTATGCAAGGACCTAACACAATTGGTGTTTTAGTTTTTAAAGAGTACCCAGCTGATGCATGGAAACTGGAGTATAAAGGGGCAAAAGGAGAAAAGGGAGCTCTGTTAGGATGCTACTGCAGAATTCTGGAAGGGAGGGGAAGGGTGACAATTTGAACTTGGGAAATGACAGTGAAAAAAATAGAAATGCATCAATATGGCTCATATTTGAGCAACAGAAGCAAATCTTACTGAATAATTAAATGTCAGGGGTCAAAGAAAGAAAGAATTGCAATATTAAAATGGACTACAACAGGGAAGGAAAGTTCTTCAACATCACCTAACCATTCAAAGTACTGAAAATATTTTGAGATGATGGACAAAGTGACTACCTCAAAATATAACGTTTTAGAAACCCTGAAAAACATCTTAATTTAAAAATGCCTAAATACAATTAATGACAAGTTCTTTTAACTTGCAGAGAACTGAATGAGTGTTCTCTGAGTTAGTGCTACCCCTATAGACCTAAAAAGGGTTTCTTTTAAACTTATGGAATTTAAGGTCCATAAGTCACCTTCACACATTATAGCGTGTTTTACATTGAGTCACTCCTACCATTCATTAGCATGGACCTACTCTCCGGGCTCCAACATTCATTAACCGCCTCATTCAAAGAACAGAATCAGGGGAAATAGTTGCTTCAAAAAGTCCATATTCTGGACCAGATGCAGTGGCTCATGCCTGTAATCCTAGC